CTGGAGCGTGAAGAGCAGGATCGCCTCCGAGTTACAGTGGATATGGTTGAAGAGCAACTCGACCACCCGGGGGGCTGGATCAAGGCTACGGATGCCACGGAGCATCAGTTCTCCATCGAGCGTCTTCAGGATGTAGTTCATGCCTTCCCAGAACCGCTGGATTTCTGGGAGAGACTCCTTCATGCTGATGTCCCACGTTGCTGCCGCATCGAGCACAGGTATGATATGGTCATGGACTGCCCAGTCGAATTTATCTTGGGTCAGGGATAGTGGCTGCAATCGCTCCCAAGAGCTGACAGCGAATCGGTGGCGCGTCGGCTCCTTATCGAAGAGGAACCACGTCATGGCAGGGAGCACAACATTCTCGCCCATCTTGAGGGGCTTCTTGGGCTGAAGCCGCTCAAAGACCTTCTGGAAAGATGCGCGTCGGGCCGGATCACTAAGGTAGGCCATGCAACAGAGCGTCTCGTAGATAGTGAGCAGCAACAGACCGACCTGGTCCTTGAGGTCGCTCTTTTGGAAGGCACGCCCTTCCGTGGTCTCGACCGTGTCAATTATCTCGACAGCCCAGCCAATGCCCCTGTTGAGTCGATCGAAATCGTATCTGTGCAAACAGTCCTCGACTTGCTGAGCAAGGCTATCGTCCCATTCACTGCGAGCAAGTCAGTCAGCTGAAGAAGCTGGGTAGGTAGAGAGGGAGAGCACAGCGAAGGGCAGCAACGTTGGAAGACTCACACAGCATATTTACGGATGAACTTCTTGCGGTTCATGTGCCAATTCAGCACACACTTGTCGCATGTGTGCATGTAGGTCGCCATGCGATCAGTCCAGTCGGACAGCCATACGCCGGCCTTGTCCTTGCCGTATGCCATGAGAAGGCTTGTCCAATAAACGATTTCAATCCTATCCTGGCCATCTTGTATCCTTTTCTTCTTGTCGTCCGCGGAAAGCGTGTCGCTGGCGGCGGGGTCATCGTAGTCCTCCTCATCGTCATCGTCGACTTTGGGGCAGAGAAGGTGCGCTTCCTCTGGTATCTTCTGAAATTTCTTGTACCAGTGCTCCAGCAAGTCTTCGACCTTGCCGTGTTCCATTTTTATCGTCGGACTTGGGGCTGGGGCATATCGTCGAGTGTCGTCGGAGGTGTCGTCAGCCAAGCTTGATTTGGGGGCATTTGCTTCCTGTTCGGAACAAGCAGGTGAATCGAGAGAGCGTTGTTGATCTGAAGGGAAACAGAAGGTGCGATTAGTTACAGGTCGGCTAAGATCGATCCCAAAGGCCGTCGACGAAGGTAGCGCGAAGGTCAGAAGCTCCCACTAGATGTGGCATGTGTGAAGACTTGCGAGGTATGCCTTGCAGTGGAGATGGCAAGACCAGATTGTAGACAGGCCCAAGCCGCGATAGAGACCCAGTGACCGACAAAAAAAAAAGAAGATAGAGCTTCCAGTCTTGTCTTGCCCTGGAGATCGACCCGTGGTGACCGTGGCTGTGAATCGTTGCTTTGTCGGCCAGCTCTAGTGGCAAGGCAGAAAAATGTAAGGAGCCGCCCCGATCCAATCCAGTAGCCGTGACGACACGCGGGTCGCGAGTGGATGACCCAAAGATCAATTAAAGGTCCCGCGTCTAGCGTGAGTGACCCTTGTGCAGGCAGAAAGGAGGACCTTGACCCACCAAGACAAACCTAGTTCCCCTGCTCCCTTGAAAGCTTACGGGCGCGCACTGCATCACAGGCTCAATCGTCACTTTAATGGGGAATTATTCTTGCCAGCAAGTCGATCCCAGTAACAATAATGACCACCTATCCCGAGATGTGCTTCCTGTGCTTCCTGAGGCTCTAAAATGCGCCGCCGTGTGCTTGAAAAGTAAAGCTCTTCTTCAGTGTCTCTGCAGTCATGCTTCTCGAGTCTCTCCGTCTTCTTTCTGTCCTTGCTCCGCCTCATCCTCTCCGACTTCGCGGTCAAGCGATTTTTGTTCAGAGCTCGCCTTTGTCTTCGTCGCCTGCCGCTTTGTCTTGCGCTTGTCAAATCGATCCAGCAACGCCTCGAGCGGACATGTCACATTGTCCCAGTCTGCCGTTCCCTCAACGGTGACGCTCCGGCATCGTCCACACTCTTTTCCATGACGGATAAAGAGTTGATGAAGTCCGTACTTCAGCCTATCTGGAATCCGGACCTCTCCGTGCATGTACGTGTCATCCCGCGATGCCTTTGGGGGAACCCATTTCAACCACTTGCAGAACCGCCAGACGTGCGTGTCTACGGCGAAGCTCGGCTGTTGGAGGCAGAAGAGGATCAGACAGGAGGACGTCTTGACGCCGATGCCAGGGTACTTGGTGAACTCCAGCATAGCTTCGTCAGAAGTAAGGCCCCGTACATGGTCGAGCGTCAGGATCCCACTCTCCATCTTATTCACCTGGTGGTCTTTCTGGCCCTGCGTGAGATTTTGAGCACCAAGTATTTCAGCCGTCTCCCCCGTCTCCCTCTCTTTGACGTAGGCTGCGAGCCTGACCTGGTTATCTCGGTGAACCATGTCGAGGATACTCTTGATGTCTCTTCCCTTCGTCGGTCCCAATCCGGCTCGTTTGACGGCGTCCACCACCTCTGATTCTTCCGACAATCGGACTTTGTCCCACGCGATGCTGCCCGCCCCGATGCTGTCGGCGTCCCACTGCCCGTACTTTGCAGTGACATCTTGAATGGCCAGATTGGCGTTCTGCATTGACGTGTGGCCGCTGATGAGAGTTCTGATTAGGGCATCCACGATATCCGGTACCTCGCCGCACCCTGCTACTGATGTAGATGGGGCAGGGATTTTTTCGGGGGCGGTAAACGCTCCATGCAGCTCGGTCAAGATTCTGTGCACCTCTACACAGTCCTCGGGAGATGGGGCTGGCCAGTCTGGAAAGGGTGTCTGACCAGGCTTAAGTCCGTAAGGGTTCTCCTTGGTCCGCCTGGGGGTTCGCTCGCTTTTTTTGTTCGAAGTTTTCTTGAAATCGACACTCTCGGCACTAACGGGAATCCTCAAGTCCTCAGGGGTGTTGTTCGTGATGGACCAGCCAGCAGGGTCTTCATGGCTCTTGGGGCGCGGGTGCAAAACCCGAGCGGACTCCGCTACAGGCAAGGCGGTTGTGGACGAGAAACACGTCTCGCCCAACGTTTGCTCTGGAATCTCGTCGGTGGATGCGCATCCGGTGACATTCTTTTCGGGACCACTCGTGGAAACAAGCCCAGAAATCCCGTCAGGAAGGTTCAGAGCAATAGTTGGTGGCCCTGATGTTTGACTTTTGGGCGCCTGGCTCAGTCCCAGACCATGCGGGAGCTCGTTGATAGGTAAGCCTTTCTTCAAGTCAAGATCTGTTCTGGTTCGCTTGGCTGGTCGTTCTTCCTGTAGCTTTGCATTGCCCAGGCCAACGTTTGCAGTACGCTTGGTCGTTCCGAAGATCGATGTGATCTTTGGGCTTGCCTGATTTTGAGCCAGCAAAGACGCATCGGCCGCTCGTTTTCTAGCTCCTCTGGTCTGCATGGCGTTTGTGATCTCTTCACTGGATGGTTCTGAGAGGCTGGAAGATGAGACGGCTCTTGCTCAAGGTCAACGAAAAGAAAACAGAGTTGGTAAAGCCCACACAGGGGTGCTGTCGCGAGAAGGTCCTTAGGGTTATAAATTGCTTTGAGAGCACAAGAAATCTCCTTAAGGTGTCAAAAAAATTGGACGTTGGTGTAAGGGGCGTTCTTCGGCAATCATGGTTTTCCAGACACTACTGGGAGGCAAGACGCAACGACGAGACTTGTGTGCTGGGCTTGTGCTTGTTCATATCACTTGGACGAGATTGGCACGAAATACAAGAAACTTCAACAGACTGAAGCTTGGGACGAAGGTTTTGACATTCGATCAAAAGCTCGGTACCTTGTCGGAAGGGGCAATGGGAGGCAGACATCAAGGGAAGGAACTTCCCCATGCACCTCCCCTACCTTGTGTCATATGCCCCTCGCGCCTTCTCAACATTCTCATACAATGACTAAATGCCCGTAGATTCCCCGTTCAGGGATGTGCACCGCGGCTTCGATGAAGCCTCCTGGCTGGCTTCATGCCCACGTGGGCCTTTTCAAAGTGACGGCAAGACGGTGATGGTGCCAAACAACTTGCCCCAGCTCAAGACCTAGAGCTACCTTACCGGGACAACTATGGACTGGCAAGATGCTACACACCTCTCTCTGTCAACAACATTGTCATTGTTTGACCTGCATGCGCGGCCGTGAACACGCTTCCATACTTGCTTTCGGATCTTCTCTACCAAATGAGGTTTGCGAGTTCAGCAGACCTACCATGGATGAACACCCGACCTTTGAGGGTGTTGCGGCATATCGGTTTATACGACTCCTTTTCGACGACTTTGCCAAGTCTCACAAGACCAAAAGAATAGCAACCCCAGTGGCGAGTTGCCTGGCTCTTCTTGAAGTTGGAATTCATTGTCTATGCTCTATGTTTTGTTTGTTCAGACTGTTCGTCGGCTTAATGTGTTCTCGCTTTCTCAAGTGCGCACATCGTTATAGCTAACCCTTGACTGCCTTGTCTCTGTTATATGCAGAGGTCTTCCCGACCCTCAGAATCAGTCTCTCAGCTCACGGTTCTTTGTTGGCTTTATTTGTCCTTGACCATGGGTATTGTGACGCCCGAAAACAACCTGAGTTGCGGGCTCAACCTTTGATCCATGCCGCTTAGTTCCCCATCATCTTTGCATGAAGGCGGAGACAGACCCAGCTCAGGTAGCCAGCCAGATATCACAGACTAGGACGTCACGAATATTCTTCACGCAGACCTATTGCTCCGCAAATACACGAGTTCTTTCCACTTACATGAGTTTTCGTCCGGAAGTTACTTGCTTCGAAGACTTTGGTTCCTTCTCGGAATTTTCGACACTTGCCACAAACCTGCTGTCTTACTGTCCGTCCTCTACATCGCCATTTGCAAAGTTGATCACTCCGTGGAGTGGGCGACATTGTAGAATGACTTCCCCCTACGGGATCTCTGGCAGAAATGCTTTTGACCCCATCGAGATCCCCGACGATGATGATCCTGTCTTGCCCGAAGACCAGAGACGCATGAATATCGCACAGCAGGTTCGCAATTACTTACTACACAGGGAGCACCAGGAAGAAGATGGAACTGCTTTCAATGCTTCGTCAGAAGATGATCAAGAAGACGATATTGTGGCAGAACTGAGAGAGGTGATCGACCTCACGGGAGACAGGCCCGAACCGATACCTCGGTACCAAGGTAGCTACAGCACTCACGCTGCGCAACCATCACCGAAGAAGCGTCATCAGAGCGTTTATTTTGAAGGCAAAAAAGTCAAGGTCAACTTCGTCTACGAGCTAAACGACACACAGGGACACCAGTTTGCCCTTGGCTTCATCCGAGTCACAGAAATCTGGGAGGACGCCCTGGACAAGACTTTCCATGTTCATGGAATACCGTATACGCGCAACCGTGTTCTACACGGTAAGCTATCACGCAAGCTCAACGAGGTCTGTATGGTTTTCGAAGTGTACCAAAACGACCAACGGCCGCTGCAAGAGCAGGCCTGCATCAAGGTGCCCATTTCTAGTCTTGGTGGCCCGCGTCGACTTCACGTCACCAACGCGCCCTACCCTCTCCATCGCTGGGACCCCAAGGCCTTCCGGTCGAAGGACGAAGTCGAAGTCTCTGGGCCCCTTGTGTGCCGCTGGAAGGCCATCTACGAATACCTTGATGATCAACCCCGAAGGAAGCCCCTCTCGCCACGCAGTTTCAAGATCATTCGCATCAGAGCCGAGGATGTGACAGAGCCCGAGTTCAGGTACAGCGACGAAGCGCTGCGCCGAGACTGGCGCGGCGAAACTGTTCGTGGCGGCAACTACCAAGCACCGCGAGGACCTGTTCAGGCTGGAACAGTGAACCGAGCTCCCAATCAGCGATATACCCTCTTCGATGCCTTTTGCGGCGCAGGAGGTGTATCCCGCGGCGCCGAGCGCTCAGGGTTGCACGTTCGGTATGCTGTAGACGTGTGGGACAAGGCTTGCAGCAGTATGCGTATGAACTTCCCCGACGCAGAGGTATTCGAGACCGATATACACGGCTTTGTCACGTCGACAGATGGAAGAGTCATAACCGCCGACGTTGTCCATCTGTCACCTCCTTGTCAGTTTTGGTCACCTGCACACACGGTCAACGGTCCGCAAGATGACGCCAATATCGCTGCACTGTTTGCCTGCCGAGCTATCATTGAAAAGGTGCGTCCCCGGATCTTCACTCTGGAGCAGACTTTTGGCATCATGCGCGAGCGATTCGCAGATTCGTTCAACTGCCTCATATCTGGTTTCACGGATCACAACTATTCGGTCGAATGGAAGGTCATTGAGTGTGAATACTACGGTCTACCCCAACACCGCCGGCGCCTGATCATGATCGGAGCAGGGCCCGGTGAAGTGATGCCTCCGTGGCCGGCCATCACGCACGCGAGGGGCGGCCAAGGCGGGCTGAAGCCGTTCAACACGATCCGCAAGGCTCTCCGACCGATCGCGCAGGTGCGCAACGACCCTCATCACAGGCCCAGGCCTTGTCCACCGTCGAGGGACTCGGTTGTCAGCGACCCCGACGATATTCTCAGACGCTGCATGACGACGAGTGGAGGTCAAAATCGGCACTTCGATAACACTCGGACGTACACGAATCGCGAGTTTGCCTGCCTTCAGGGGTTCCCGATTTGGCATCAATTCACCAGGACATGTGCTCGCCGGCAGATCGGCAACGCGTTCCCCCCTTGCGTTGTCCAAGTCTTCTACGAGGCGATACAGAAGCATCTGTACCAGGTAGACGGCTTCACTGGGAACCCCCGACCTGTGCTCCCTGTTATTCCGAGAGACATCATCAGCCTGGTCGACGAAGGTGAGGATGAAGACGATAGCGCCGTGGAAGACCCGCCCAGTTACAGGGCCTCTGCCAACTTCCGTCCCGCTCGCATTAACCGCAGGGATGCCGTTGACATAGCTGGTCAAGAAGATTCCTTTGGTCTGCGTCCAAGTGCGACCCCAAGGCGGCGAACTGCCCTTGTGAACGTTGATCTCGCGACCTCCACACACTTGCGGCCGCGGTCTCAGCCGACCCCAGCCCCTTTGGCTTCGTCGCAGCTTGACTTTGAGTCTCGGACACAGCAACGTCGGGAGCCTAACGGGGCATTTGACAGCTTGACACTGATGTCACGCGACGTCCGTCGGGACCTCAGCGTCATGGAAGCCACGTCTTCTCAAGTCCGTCGCTTTGACGATCCCGCCCCTCCTACGTATCCCACAGCTCCGATGCGACCCCGCGTGGACTATCAGCAGCAGTTTCCCCATCCTTACGACGAAAGCATGTCACAGTCTCGTTATGGCGCCAACAGTCGGACCATGGGCAACCAAGCCAGCGTAGCAGGGCCGTCACAGCCCATGCATGACAGGCTGCGCTTCCTAGCCCCCAGCCAGAGGCTACTGCGCGGCTCGTTTACAGACATTGCTCTCGATTCTTGGGGCTTGCCTCCCGTTGGCTCTTTCCGCGAGCGGCACGACGCCAGTGACCTACCAGCTGGATCGTCTCCGCTGTCGCGCACTGCCTCGTTATCGGGCACACCGAGGCGAGGTGCCATGCAAGCCGAGTACGGTAGTCACGGTTTGCGAGACGACGATCAGGATCAGGATATCATCATTTTAGACTGACAAGAAGTGGAGGAAGAGACTGGGGTGAATGGTAGAGAAAGGACTGCAGGGCGTGAGAGGGAAGGAGAACAGAGCGGTTACCGGTCGCCCATGGTGTGATCATCAATGGAGAGAGGGAGACTATGTGTTGCTTGCCGTCTCTATGAGACTTGAGAGGCACCGGTCATGGCTTAGATTTGCAAAACGAAGAGAACTGTGGGTTGGATGGACGTCGCCGAAGACGGAGTCGAGCAACTGGCTTGGATGCACTGGCTTTATTGCGTCAGATTCAACGATCGACAGACTGCTGGCGTTCGCCTCGGGAATACACACCATCACAATCAAGCTTGCCGTGTCATTCGTGTGAGGCACAGACTCTAGAGACCGCAAGGGCTCACTGCATTTCTTTTCAGCAATATGTACGTTGACCGTCATCTATGTACCCTACAAAGAAACCCCCTCCCCATTCCATGCACCTCACTCGGCCGGGCCGACGCCGCGACCCAGGAACTCACCTCACGCCAAGACACTCTGATCAATCCAGGCAATGTTCCCAGGCACGCCGTCCTCGGTGAGGAAGACGTCAACGGGCCTCTTGTACGGCGCAAACGCGGCGTCGTCGAGCACGCGCGTGACGTTGCCATTGGCCGCGAGGGCCGTGACGTTCCAGCCGGGCCCGCGGTCCTCGTGCACGGCCATGAAGGTGAGGTCGGAGACGCGCGGGTCGGTGGCGCCCCAGCGGATGTAGCCGGCGGGCAGGATGCTGGGGTCGAGGTACGTGTCGCTGAAGACGGAGCGGTGCTGGGCGTTCCAGGGGCGGCCGAGCGGGCAGCGGCCGAGGAGGGTCGGGGCGATGGAGGCGTTGGCGGCGAGGACCTGGCTGTCGTCGGCAATGTAGACGCCGTACTTGTTGGGGAAGGTCGTGTTGGTGCCCTTCCAGGCGGTGATGCCGCCGCCGCAGTTGCGCAGCGACAGCGTCGAGTGGGCGACCCAGGCGGTGCCGAAGCCGTAGAGGAAGTCGGTCTGGCCGGCGATGACGTTGTCGTGGAAGTAGGCGTTTCCGAGCTTGCCGACGTAGAGCTGTGGTGTTGTGAGTAAGCAAGTGGTCTTTGCCAGTCTGTACGTTCGGGCGAGCTATAACAGAGGAGAAAGACTTACTGTGTCCTGGTAGCTGTAGAGGCCGCACGAGTAGAAGCCGGCATTGGCACGGCTCACGCCGACGGCATGGGCAGGGCCGTTGGCGCGAGGGAACTCGTCGTTGCGAAAGTCGATGTTGTAGGCGCGGAAGTCGACGTTGCCGAACGGCGTGCCTTCGGGCACGGCGAAGCCCGTCGGGCCGGCGCCGGTGAGGGTGGCGTTGAGGGTGGGGCCGACGCTCAAGACGCTGGTGAAGGCGTTATCGGGGAAGCGGGCCTGGTAGTTGGCGGCATTGTGCCAGACTTGGACCTCGTTCTGCGGCGCCGGCGACGAGAGGTCCGTGGCGAGGTCGGCGTAGAGGCGGCCCTCGTGGGGGCTGTCGGACATGCCGAGCAGCGTCAGGGCGCCATGGCGGGTGACGTTGAGCTGCTCGGTGTAGTTGCCGGGGGCGATGAGGATGACGGCCGGCACGTCCGTGTCAGGCAGCGAGTCGATGGCGGCCTGGATCGAGCTGAAGTGGGCGCGCTTGGACCTGGGGCTGACGAAGATGGTGTTCGGCGGGCACCCGTCGAGGGGATGGCACGTCTTGCGCTGGCACTCGGCATATGTCGTCGCGGGCTTGACAGTCGGGGCCACGTCGTCTGACCTCGTGTCGAGAGGTGCCGCGAGACCCAGACGCAGGCCTGGCAGCAGAGCCGCGACGAGGGCGAGAGTCTTCATGATGATGGCTTGGTCTGTCGTGGCTGACGATTCGGAGAGGTTCCTTCGCTCACAATGGCACTGCTCGACCGGACGGCTTCGAAGAAAAGTCTTGGCGCTCGATCAAGTTTATATGGTCTTTGCCGTGCCTCGCCAAATCTCCCACGATGTGTCTTGAAATAGTCGAGCTTCGTCATCTCGTTCATGGAGGCGCTCCCCAGGCGCGGCTCATCGGCAGCTGGCGACTTGGTGATCCCGGACGGACAAGGAGAAGCACGTCTGCTTTTCCGGACGTTCGGCAGGCAGCACATGGGCGTGGCGACGTCGACATGGGCGTGGCAGCGACACAAGGGACAATGGCAGAGGGCGAGCTGGTGCTTGCTCCCCCGCGTTCCAACGCAATGCGACGATCGGCGGGCATGAGTCGCATGTTGGTTAGTGTCATGTGGGCGTGGAACGAAATGACAATGTACGTGTCCCAATTGACGCAAACCTCCGCGCAACGGGGTCCCTTGCGGTGCTTGTGGTGCTCGTGGTATTTGCCGTCTTGCGGAGGCCGTCGTCGAAATACTTCCACGAGTGAGACGGCGTGGTTGCGGCTCCGAACCCACGCCGTCCCGGAACTCGGCACAGTAGGCTGCCAAGGTTACAGAGAGAGCTTCGTCTCCAGCTCACCCAGACTCCAGGAGACTCAGACTCCAGGAAAGTAAGACTCCCCCAACTCCTCCTGGCCCCCGCGATCATGGTCCCCCGCATCTCGGTGCCCCGGGCGCTCGCGCGGAGAAGTTGTTGTGATCCCTGTTCTCTCTGTTGGCATCCCCTTGCTACCGACAAGACTTCCCTCCCCTGCATCATGCCGTTTAAACCCTCGACCGACATGGCCAATTAAGCTTGACCCAACGACCCCCCCCGCAGGAGATAGTCCAGATTCCCCAAAGGGTTGGGGGGGTCCAGTTGCCCGCCTCTCTTCTCTGACTGGAGCTTGAGCTATTTGTGCTGTTCCTGTTCAATGTTGTTTCTGTCCTGCTGCTGTAGGGGTACTCCAACTGCTGCCACCAAGACGCTGCTGCTCCTGTCGGTGCTGACACCATATCTAAATCCAATTAGCCTGAATCGCAGCTGCCCCTGCATCTGCTATCTAGGTAAAGAGCCCTCGTGAAGAGGTCCGCGGACAGGAGAAGGACACCAGCCTCGTCCGAGGTGGAGGACATGAGGCCGCGCCACCTCGCAAGTATGTTCAACCGATGCTTTGCTTGCCTTGCTGGCGGGTCCCTGTCTCCCCGCTCGTCACCATGTTCACCTACGGACGGAAGAATTTCTGGTATCCTGGTGGATCAACCTTCTGAACTCCTCCCGCGTCTTCCTCGAGCGCGGTTCGGTATCGTTCACCTACCACCAGCCGGCCCAACGGGACCCCTCCGCCATCCCTGAAATGGAGGTCAAGGGGGGGGACCCGCCAAACCCATGCGAGGTTCCCATGGGATTGCCTTAAGAGGCAACAAGCGGCCTTGGCATTCGGGATTCACCTTGACTTCTGCAGACTCTGGCGACTGGAGTGAGGGAAAGCTGAGCATGCTCCAGGGGAGAACCAGACCGACAGGCGTGTGTGTGTGAGCGCGCACACACACGTACCTGCGCATATGCAGGACGAGGGACCATGTTCGAGCGGAAGCTTTTCCGACCCTCTGTCGATGACGGTTCGGGAGAGGTATAAGAAGCTCGCGATCCTCTCTCGATACGACCCTGGCAGAAGACAGAAACGGCAGCAGAGGCAGCACAGCAAGCAGAAGCAACTGGTTCTCCGAGTAAGAGGCAGAAGACGGAGAGCAGAAAGAAATCAACCATGCGCTCCTTTGTGTCCCTCGCCCTCGCGGCACTCGCGTCGACAGCGGCCGCGCGTGACTACATCGAGCGACCGCACGCCGAGGCGCACCCGCTGAAGCCCTACAAGGCGTTCCCCGCGTCGACGCCGCGCACCAAGACGTGCTTCGTCAAGCCCAGCTGCACCGAGGGCCGCGACGACTCGAAAAAGATCCTCGCGGCGTTCGAGGCGTGCAACGACGGCGGCACCGTCGTGCTCGACCGCGAGTACACCATCTGCGAGCCCCTCGACCTCCGCTTCCTCCGCCACGTCGACGTCGCCCTCACGGGCACGGTCCGGTTCTGCGACGACATTGACTACTGGCTGCCGCGCACCTTCAAGTACCAGTTCCAGGGCGCCTCGACCTGGTGGGTGTTTGGCGGCGAGGACGTGCACATCTACGGCGCCGGCGTCGGCACGCTCGACGGCAACGGCCAGGCCTGGTACGACCGCTTCGCCACCAACAAGACGCTGCAGCGGCCCATCCTCTTCGTCACCGACGGCCTCCGCGGCGGCTCCGTGACGGGCCTCAAGCTGCGCAACTCGCCCAACTGGCACAACCTCATCGCCAACTCGTCCGACGTGCTCATCTCGGACATTGACATCTTCGCCCGCTCCTCGTCCGCCAACGAGGCCAAGAACCTCGACGGCTGGGACACGTACCGGTCCGACAACATTGTCATCCAAAACTCGTACCTCGACCACGACGACGACTGCGTCTCCTTCAAGCCCAACAGCACAAACGTCATCGTCCAGGGCCTCACCTGCAACTCGTCGCACGGCATCTCCGTCGGCTCGCTGGGCCAGTACCCCGAGTTCTTCGACATTGTCGAGAACCTGTACATCTACAACACGTCCATGTCCAACGCCGTCGACGGCGCCCGCCTCAAGGTCTGGCCCGGCTCCGAGACGGATTTCCAGCCGGGCCTCGGCGGCGGCGGCGGCGCCGGCTACGTCCGCAACGTGACCTACGAGCGCTTCCACTCGCGCAACAACGACGCCGCCATCCGCATCGACCAGTGCTACGGCGAGAAGAACGCCACGCGCTGCGCCGAGTTCCCCTCCCTCATGCGCATCACCGACGTCGTCTTCAAGGACTTTACCGGCACCGTCTCCAAGCGCTACGACCCCCGCGCCGGCGCCCTCATCTGCTCCACGCCCGACACGTGCGACAACATTCGCGCCTGGGACATTGACCTCAAGACCCCGTCCGGCAAGGCCCCCGAGTGGCAGTGCCGCAACGTCGAAGAGTCGCTGCTGCAGCTCGGCGGCAAGGGCTGCATTCCGGGCTGAGCGCCGCCAGGCCTCGAGCAAAGGCGATGCGATGCGATGCGATGGAAAAAAGAGGCCCGGCGGCCTCGTCCCACCATGTATATAGATCGAGCGGTTAATGATCATACGCACCAGACTCTCCGCCTCTCGCCTGCTGTGCATGTCTCGCCCTGTATCCCAATCAGCAGTCTGTTCCGACACGGCCGCGGCTTCAGTCATGATCAACGTTGCATAGTGTGTGTGGTCCAGGGCAAATCGAGTCACAAGCGCGGGGGGGTTTTGGTATTTTGGTCTTTTTGCTGACTTGACACGCATCCAGACGTCCTGTGACATTTTGACGGCACCCCGTACGCCGAAGGACTGAATGGTTGAGACTGCCTTTTTATCTTTCCCCCGTACGACCCATCCCTCGTGTCGAACAACCTAAGCAGACCCCTGTACCCGAAATTCCTTCCTCGAAAAAAAAGAAGCACATAAAACAGCAGCGTAGCTAGAAGACCCAAACGTCGTGCGAAAGAGCCTAAGACGCCATGTACGTGGCGGGATCGACGCCATCCTTAGGGAACTCACTAGAAAGAACACAGAGTCAGTATACCAGAAACCCAGCGTTGCACGGCGCAAGTGGGGGGCGAAACATACGGAAGAGCGACCTCAAAGCGCTTCTCAATCGCGGCCAGCACCTCCTTGTCGCCGTCAGTGCTGACAAAGGAGATGGCGAGACCCTTGGTACCGAAACGACCGGCACGACCGACGCGGTGGAGGTACGAATCAGCGTCACCGGGCAGATCGTAGTTGATGGCCAGGTTGATACGCTCGATATCGATACCACGTCCAAAGACGTCCGTGGCGACACAGATGCGCTTGTTGAAGTCCTTGAACTCCTTGTAGCGGCGAATACGCTCCTCCTGCGACACGCCCGAGTGCACGGCGATCGAGGGGAAGTTGCACTCGCGCAACAGCTTGTCGAGCTCGGTGGCGCGCAGCGTGCTCTTGACGAAGATGATGACCTGGTTGAACTGCAGGTCGTCAAGGAGCTCGTTGAGCTTGCGGTTCTTCTCACGCTCCTCCAGCTTGATGTAGTACTGCTGAAGACCGTGGAGGGTGAGCTTCGTGTCCTCATCGACATAGTGCTCGGTCGGATTCTGCATGAACTTCTTGCAGATGGGCTTGACCTCGTCGGAAAGAGTGGCCGAGAACATCATGACCTGCTTCTGGGTGGGCGTGGCCCGGAAGATCTCCTGTACGTCCCTACGCATGTCTGGTCCGTGTCAGTAGAACTCTTTGCCGTGTCCCGCAACAGCCAGACTTACCAATCTGGTCGAGCATCTTGTCGCACTCGTCGAGAACGAAGATCCTGACGCTGCCGAGGCGAAGCACCTTGTCGCGGACGAGGGCGTTCAGACGACCGGGGGTGCCAACAATGATATGAGGGCAGGTGTCCTTGTTCTTGATCGTCTCAACATCTTTCTGGATGGGAGTACCACCGTAGAAGACGCCCGTCTTGATATCGGGCATGTACTTGCTGAAGCGGTTGTACTCGTTGCGGATCTGGAAGGCCAGCTCACGAGTGTGGCACATGACGAGGACGGAGACCTCGCCAGCGACGGGCTCGACCTGCTGGAGGGTCGTCAGGACGAAGACGGCCGTCTTTCCGAGACCAGACTTGGCCTGGCAGATGATGTCACCACCGAGGAGAGCCTGGGGGATGCAGGTTTGCTGGACTGTTCGATCGACCGACGTTAGATAGGATTCCAAGAGTGAACGGAAGGACGATGAGCAGGTCGAAAGGTCCGTCCATCAGCGCGGAAAGAGCCATGTGTCTTGCCGTGTCGTTTGCCAAAAGAAATGCGTTGCCGCGTCTGCCATTTCCTCCTTGGGTGCCGCCCCCAAATGGCCCCGAATCGATGTATCAATTTTTCGTGACATGAAGAAGAACCAAGTCGCACAGGAGGTTCGCCGCCTCTGCACGACCGACCTGACTGAGGCTGGCGTGCGAGTCGGCGTGGCGGGTTCTTCTCGAGCTCTCGACGCGCGATGCGGGAGACTGTCTGGCAAAAAAAGCCCTGACAGGTGTCTGCGCCCTTGGGGTCACAGAGACGACGTTGGCCGCCTCAGTCCCCAAGGCGGCGACAATGACGACCATGCTCTCTGGACAGAAACGGACGGGACCACTTCCATATACTGAAGTGCCGTGTCCGTGGAGGCTTGTTCATTTGGCTTATTTCGATGATCCGGCAAGACGGAATGGATGGCTTGAAATCGATGGACTTGGCTTCGCGCGATGGACGGACGTTTTGACGGGGAGGGGGTGATGATGAGATGGACGGGTTAGGGTATGGACTCATGACTGACCCTCCGAGGGATGCTCGAAGCCGCAATCACCGATGGCACGAAGGAGTTCGGGCTTCAGCAGAAAGTCGCGGAAACCGGTGGCGTGAATGCCGACGTAGCTGCCCTTCTTGTCGACACTGTTACCAGTGGCAGCGGCATCGGCGGCGCCCTTCTTGCCGTTGGAGGCGGCGGCGGTCTCATTTGTCTGGAGCTCCTCATCGGAGTAGTCGATGAGATCCTCTTCCTGCTGGCCTGACATGTTGGCGGTGTTATGAAGCGGGAACTGTAGATGCGTGTTGGGATGGGCCCGATGTGGTACGGATCGATCAGGAGCGGAGCCTGGTCGAGAGCGGTGATGCAACTAGGCGTTGATAAGAAATGAAGAAGCTCTGCTGCAACACGACGAAAAGTGCTGGCTGATTGTTGGAGATGGAGGGGTGAAAGGTCGATGGAGGGCAACGGTGTAGGGACGCGTTGCGATGGGGTCCGGTTGAGTGGAGGGAGGAAGCTGATGCGGCAAGGTGGGCGAGGCAGTTGCACGGTCAAAAGCTTTCCTGGGCGAGCTGGGCTGAACGCGATCACGTGATGCTGTGCTCTTTGTCTGATTGGGGACTAGCGCCATGCTTGGGGAGCAAAGGCAAAGGCAAGGAAGGAGCGCCCAGGAGCGTTTCGCCACGTTTAGGGAGGCGCTGACTCATCTTTTCTTCTGAACCCTGTGGCTTTCTCTATGGTTCACTTAACTGAAGATCACTTATTGAATAATCAGCTACACCATCGCAGACAGTACGAGACAGTACGATAACGACAGGCCAACAAGCAGGGGCGTCGATCGGGCGAAGAGAAACTCGAAATGGCAAAGGCTAAGAAGAAGCCGAGTGAGAACGTCCAGAACAGACAGCAGTACACCCGCATCAACTACCTCCACCAAGCGGCCGCCTATCTTGCAGTACAGAATGCTGCACAGACGAGTGTTCGAGGATCCGACAAGCACAGTCCATCAGCTGTGATAGAAGACGCGCTGAAATCCGGACATGAGAATGTGGCACGTCGATTAGTCGCCGATATAAGTGCCGTCTCTAAGAAAGTGGTCATCAGACCAACGCCCGCCATGAGGAGAACCGTGTGCAAAGCCTGCGATGCGTTTCTCATCGAAGGCCACAGTTGCACGACGACGATTGAGAATCTGAGCAAGCAGGGGAGGAAACCATGGGCCGACATCATGGTCATGACGTGCCACACATGCGGCCACGCCAAGAGGTTTCCAGTCGACTGTCCGAGGCAGAAACGGCGGACATTGAGGGGGGATGCATCCCTCGATGGCCATGTGCAAGATGCCGGCTGAGCCGAGTCTTGTTGTCTGATAGAAGAGCACACAACACCTCAGTCTCTGAGATGGCCACCTTACATGATGGCACTCCGACTGGACAAGACGGACGCCGTGGAGCCTCCATGGATATTTCCGTGCGCATCGATCACGACGAATGACGTCCCCTCTAGCCGTAGCCAGCGCCGTCGTTGGTTGCCCTGTCCTCTTGGGCTTACTGAAGCATGCGACACATCCGCGCGGCTGGAAGGGGACTGAGACCAACAGGCAGGCAGGCAGAGATGTCTTCAGCACATTTAGTCAATAGCCAGGGTTGCCCTGTGATATACGGCCAGAGCCGTCACACGTCCACATCTACACGCCGAAGAGAAAAGAGGACTATAGCCATTACAATGATACCTATTTCTCATTGCACGAAGAACCATCTGCTCTGCCCAGAGGGCCGTCGTCCTTCTCTCGTGACCCATGTTCATAATTCATTCTACAAGCCGAGTCATCCCTCGACTCCGCTTCCAACTCCAGCAGCCGCCTAAGAAAATCAAACGAAGAAGAGAAACGGATCATCGCTGCTGACCTCCCTGTTCCCGGTTGATCGCCTCCTCCCCGAGCACCTTGCTCGCCGCCATGAACAGGCCGCCGTGCCAGCTGCCGAGCCCTCGCATGCTCTCCGCCTGCACGCTCGTCATGCGCACGAGGTTGTCCGTGTCAGCCAAGTTGGCGGAAAGTTGTGCGAGCTGCGCGTGGAGGTGCGTCTGCCACCAAGTTGTCAGCCTGGGTGGGAGTTGTTCCATCAACAAATCTCGGCGCGTGCCACCCCTCCGGACTCCGGGGCGTCCCCGGGGGGGGGGGGGGGGGAAAGGGGATGGGATGGGGTTGGGAA